ACACAAGGAGCCCGTGCTCTCGAATGTCATCACGTAGATAAATTACATAATAAAAATTGGATCCACTCAAACCGTAGTTTATTAGTACCGGGAGAAAAATAATAAAGCTATTTCATACAATCGTAAACAATTGTAAATAGGGTTGTAGTCCTATTTACAACCCAGGTAAGAAACAATACATTTATGCATTAAAACACCCACGTGTAGTAGATATAGACATGACGAAACCAATAGTTTTTCATTAATTGCACGATTTTATATTTATAAACTTGCTTCGGAAACAGATTCGTTAGTCTGATATCAATGGAGGCTGGTCCGGATATCGGTAAATAAAGTGCATTTATAGTTCAGTGGTACGCACGATAATATATAAACAAATTAAACCCACAAAAAAGACAAATATATAAATAACTGCAGCCCGACTATGGTACGAAGTATAAAACACGTAGTATTCATCAACAAATGAAATACATATAAGAATAAACATATGTAACTACAGCATGTATAAATCCATGTATAAAGACCTACCCTTAACAAAGACCGATCTGCGTAAAACACACGGTCGAACAAGAAATCGCATGGTAAATTGGATTTAACACCTACGCGTCAGATAAAGCCTGCTAGTCCTTGATAAAACACCTTTGGTGCAGTTATAACACGCTTTCAAGAAAACTCACCAAACAAAGAATATACACCTTGTCAGTCATTTTTAACCCGTTTGTTAATTAACACATCCAGTACAGAAAACGCACCGTTGCAGAGATTTTCACCCCTAGCGATACTTAAATCACCTTTCAGTCAATTTCTCACTCCTGTTAATTAACACACCGTATCTACAGATATTAGCCTCTTCGTATTATATTTGTTGTGATAATTAGAATTTTACCGATATTCGTACAAATTTACCAAAATCGGTAGATATCTATGCCCTAAACGTACAAATAACACTATTACTACTTCTCAGTGGCATATAGTCTAATTTTATTTCAATAATTCGCTTGTGAGTAGAGGTCTTTAGCAGTGGGAGGAAAATGAGGACTGGACCTTACTCCTTGTCGCGTACATGCTGGGAATCACAACCTTTCCACCTGACTCAATGACATGATAGTGTGGATGGCAGACCGGCAGAGATGACAAGAACATATGACCACATTTCAATGGAGACGTATAAAAACTTTGCTGATTTCACAATTTCAACTCTCAGATTTACAATTAGTTAATATTTGAACAAATTTCAACTTAATCACTGAACCAGGCAGATACCCCCACATTTTGCAAGAGATGGATAGAGAACAAGCTAAACAAAATGAGATTTTTATGTAGAATCAAGGGCCATAATTCAGGAAGTTATGATCCAATATGAGAGAATATCAATAGGAACCAAGATCTTTGGGTTATAAAGATTTCAAGCTGGTCCACAACCTTGATATACCATATATTTACACTATTTGCATAGGAGGGGTGGCCATTTGTCCGGTGGTTATGGTCCCATTTTCACAAAATTTGAACTCAGCCATTATTAGGATGTAACGGTGATATAATCCCAAAAGTTTTTTAAATCAGATAAAAATTGTGACCTCTAGAGGAACTACAAACTAAAAACGCGATTTTTTTTCGTACAATCAAGTGCCATAATTCAGGAAGTTACGATCCGATATGCATGAATATCAAAAGGAACCAAGATCTTTGGGTTATAAACATGTATTTCAAGTTTAATCAAAATTGTGGCCTCTAGAGGGTCCACAGCCCTAGATATACCATATATTCACATTATTTGCGTACAAGGGGTGGCCATTTTGTGGGGCAGTTTTGGTTCGATTTTTACGAAATTTGAACTAAACCATCAATAGGGTGTAACAATGATATATTCAAACATTTTTTCGTACAATCAAGGGCCATAATTCAGGAAGCTTTGATCCGATATGCATGAATAATGACAGGAACCAAGATCTTTGGGTTATAAACATGCATTTCAAGTTTCATAAAAATCAGATCCAAAATATGGCCTCTAGAGGGTCAACAACCTTGATTTACCATATATTTACACTATTTGCGTACCAGAGGTGGCCATTTTGTACGGCAGTTTTGGTCCGAATTTCACAAAATTTGAACTCGGCCATCAATAGCTTGTAACGGTGATATTCAAATGATTTTTTAAATCGGAAAAAAATTGTTACCTTTAGAGGGACCACAAGCTAAAAACATGATTTTTTGTACAATCATGGGCCATAATTCAGGAAGTTACAATCCGATATGCGCGAATATCAAAAGGAACCAAGATCTTTTGGTTATAAACATGCAGATGAAAATTGTGACTTGTAGAGTGTCGACAAGCTAAAAACATGATTTTTCGTACTACGAAGGGCCATAATCCATAAAGTTTTGTTCCGATTTATGCCAATATCGAAAGGAACCGAGATGATAGACCTATATTTTAAGTTTCGCCAAAATCTAATAAAAATTGTGACCTGTAGAGTGTCCACAAAGAAATTGTGGACGGACGGACTTCCAGACGGACATCTGGACAGGAGCGACGACAATATACGTCCCCATGAAAATGTGGGCGTATAAAAATTGTAAGATTCCTTGATTTCAAAATGTCACAAGCTTGAATAGTTAACAGACGGACAATGCCATTCTATATCTAGCCCATTTAAAAAAATAACAACAAGCCAACAGTGAGGCTGATGTCCCCCGCTGAAATCCCAGAATAAATAGATGACACACATTAATTAATCGCACATTTACTTTTTTTTCAAAAGTATTGAGCAATCAAACTATACACTAAGTCTCATCACTCTCTATTAGATAGAATCAAGATTATCTTGTGACAAATGAAATTGATTAGCTCTGCTAAGCTTCAGCTCGAAATGTTACATTGTAACAATGGCATCCTTTAGAACGGGGATTTTACCACTAGATAGTATGCATATAGTTTACTTTCAATACATCATTTGATAATTGATAAAAATCGTTTGAGAATAACAAAAATGGTTTAGTTAGTACTATTGCTTAGTTTAATGGTAACTCGTTTAGTTTCTCCAAGAGGCGTTTATAAATGGACGACCCGTTCACTTATTTACCTCGTTTACTTATTAGACGAGTGGTTTAATTTCCCGAGATGCGTTCATCCGATCTGTTTAGGTTCATTTTGATTACGATTATTTACATATGAAGTACAATTAAAAAAGGTGAATATTAAAAAAATGCACACCCATAGATGCTCACCTTACCATGGTCAAAGTATTGTTATCCATTATCCATTAAAAATAGAATTCCAACATTGACAAATACATCGATATATCACGTCCCAAGTAATTATACAATTGGGAATCGGTAAATCACATCCCAGGTAATATATTTTCTTTGAATCATGTCACCAGAAGTCAACCTTGCAATGTACATGTGGCAGGGCGATAATCTCGTGAGACTTTTACAGGGGCACAAAAAGTCGGTATCTGTCAATCTCTATAGACAAGCTGTCGCCCATTTTCAGACAGGGCTCTCAGAATGGGTTCAAATAGTATCAACAGTATCGGATAAACACATCTTGAGAAATTAAACCACTTGTCTAATAAGTAAACAAGGTAAGTAAGTGAACGGTTCGTCCATTTATAAACGCTTCTCAGAGAAATTAAACGGGTTACCATTAAACTAAGCAATAGTACTAACTAAACCATTTTTGTAATTCTCAAACGATTATTATCAATTATCAAACGATGTATTGAAAGTAAACTATATGCATACTATCTAGCGGTAAAAAACCCGTTTTGAATGATGCCATTGTTACAGTGTTAATCACTGAACTTCTTCAAGACTCAAGACATTCACCTAATGAACACCTACATCAAGTTTTTAACATTCTACCTTAATTAAAAGCAGAGTTGTTATGTTCCAAAGTCTTGACCAATCAAATTGCTTATCGCTCCTTGGCCTAAGCAGAAAATTCTCACCATCGAACTTAGTCCAGGTAATGATATAATGAATCTATATTCAGAGTTTCATCACTCACACTTCATTATAACCAAAATTATTGTGCCCCAAAGCATCAACCAATCAGATTGCTTATTTCTGCTTACCGTAAGCAGACCATGTTCATCATTGAACTCCATCAAGGCATTCAACTAAAGAACGTCTACACCAAGTTTGAACATTCTACTTCAATTAGAAGGAGAGTTATTGTGTTCCAAAGTCTCGACCAATCGAATTGCTTATCACCCTGCTTACCCTCAGCAGAAAATGTTCATCACTGAATTTAGTCAAGGTATTGATGTAATGAAACAATACACCAAGTTTCATCACCATTACTTAATTAGAACTAAAGTTATCGTGTCCTAAAGCATCAACCAATCAAAATGCTTATCTCTGCTTACCCTAAGCAGAAAATGCTCATCTTCGAACTCCATGAAGGCATTGACCTAATAAACGCCTACACCAAGTTTGAACATTCTAGCCCAATTAGAAAGAGAGTTATTGTGTCCCACAAAGTGTGATGGAGAGAGAGAGAGAGAGAGAAATGGGGTTTAACGTCCACTCGACACAAACTAGGTCATTTCAGGACTAACATATGGTTTTTTAAATTTTTATTTACATAATTCGCTTGCGCGTAGGGGTCTTTAGCAGTGGGAGGATTCTGGAGGCCCCGGAGAAAACCCACGAGGTTGGACAGGCGACCCTACTCCTTGCCACGTACAACCGGGGATTCGAAACCACGCCAGTCGACTCAATGACAGACTTTATGATACAGCGCGCGCACGCTAACCATTCAGCCATCCAACCCCCCAAAAGTGTGATGGACAGACAGACAGATGGACAGTCGGACGAACCCATTTTAATAGTACCCTGCTTTCTTCGAAAGGCGGGGGACAAAAAAGCAGACATATAGAAAAAGTATTTTATTTTAAAGACTATATTGTCATGGTGCCCTCTTTCTGATAATTGAAATAAAAGTTTTATCCAGTGTTCCTAACAATAGTGAATAATTAAGAAATAGCTCATACATCAGCATCTGGACACACTGACAAACTGCAGAAACGTTTCTCTCTTTTAGGTAGGCACACTTGGCCGCCCCGTTTGGGTCGGAGGACTATTTTTCTTTTTCGGACCTGGACAGCGCTATCACCACATGTATTTGAACATTCTGACCATTCACTCCAGTCTCCCATTTTGCAGTTGACAGCTGAAATGGTATAAAATAATTCTTAAAAGAAATTAAGAAAAAATGTCAGCATATTATACGTCTGTATAAGTAACTTGTAAAGAAACCCAAATTCTAAAATAGCAGGAAATTGAAATTTTACAAAACCAAATGATCAAACTGCATTGATTGCAATGTACCATTTCACACATCCGAGTAGTCCACATAGCAAAATCTTTAGATTGTATAATATCATTGATGCATTGAAAAGTTTCTATGACATAATCAAGGGCAATAACTTTATAATCCAAATTATCAGAAATTGTTAAAATTCAAAAGGCTTCATTATTTCACTAATTTGAATAATGCATCATACATTTCAACCTCATTGGATGATAACTTTGGTCGTTAGAGCCTTCACAACAATGAACAAAGATCTACCAAAGAAACAAGGGTCATAACATAACCAGGGTTCTTAATTCATTTTTAAACAAACCAGCCATTGGTCAAAAGAGGTTACGGTAGGAAATAAGGTAACTAATCTCACATCCCCTTTATATAACCAGACTTCAACAAAAACAAGTCTAGGTAATTTGTTATGTAGCATATCATATTTGATGGATCAAGCGAAATGTTAATAGTAAGAATAATTCATGATGTCTAAACATTGTTGATCACCTGAAATATGTGTGTACAGCATCAAAAACACACTTTTATGGATAACAATTACTATGGTTTATTTCACTGCGACGTTTCAACAACGACTTGTGATAACGACTTGTGAAACCTTGTTGAAACGTCGCAGTGAAATAAACCATAGTAATTGTTATCCATAAAAGTGTGTTTTTGATTATGTTCCAATTACTAAATGCCATTCAAAGAATATGTGTGTACAGCAGCTATGTCTAGACAGCAACTCATCCAAAAGGAAAACTTGGATGTTGACCAAATTTGATAAGAATACTTTTTGCTTCAAGAAATCTGTTCTCTGTCGTGTTTACAAGCTTGAATAAAATAGTTAAAAACTGTTGCCTTTATCACACAAAGTTATCAGAAAAGGGGGGTAATCTCTGGAAAGGAAGGTCACAGAACACTGACTATCGATAAGGTTCGTCAGTGCTTCACATTTGAAAAAAATAGAGGAGCCATAAAAAGCTCTTCTAAAATTACAACAGCTGAAAATCGCTCCTGCAAAAATAGCACTTCTCAACTCAAAATAAAGGAGCAATCCATTATTTAGAAGAGCTATTCATTTATTTCATATTTTGACCATAGATGAAGCCATTTATTGACCATTAATACTTAGAAAATAAGGATATGTGTTTCAATATTTATTAGAATGAAATTTCAGTATCAATCTTTCACTATACTGACTTGATGAAAACCATAGACAAAGGTCACAGAAAAAATCCTTAAGTTTAACTTTGACTCCCTTATAATTTTGGCACAAAGCCTGCACCATAACAATTTGATGTTTCCCGTTTTGTCTCCAATGAAAATTTAAACACTGAAAAAATTCAAAACAATGTCCAAAAATAAAGTTTATGTATAAGTTACATAACAATTTGACAAAAGAAAACAATATACATATAATTTTTAGCGTAAATTAGTCGGAATGTGAGAAAGGAATTCCAAAATCAGCTGTTCTCTCTGCACGTGGTTAATAATAGAATAGTGTCATGTTCAGGTGCAACTTCCGTGTTTGAAATTCAATTTTGTATTGATATTTTAGAATTTGAATTCTACGTATTTCTCAACGGCAAGGTCATAGGCCTCTACATTAAATTTAAAGCATGATTTGAGACGTATGTTTTACTTGGAAGAATCCACGTCAATTCGGATTATGGAATTTTACAAATCTTCGAGTCTCAGACTTAAAGCTAATGCGACGATTCACAAAATTTTTTAGTCCTGTCGATGTCGAAGACATTAATTACGATATTTATATGGATCAAAAGTTTGTGTGCATGGATAATGTGTGACGTGGAAAATTATAAATGGCAGGTTAGTTACTAAAGCGACATTTCGAGGCCTGTCTGATTAAACTCTATATTTATTTATTTCTATTTATGTAAATTCTTTTTTTTTTAAAACCATTTAAAAACACATACGCACACTTAATATAGAAAATCGCGTGAGAAGCTCGAATCCTCGATGCATCTGCATACGTGATCAATCGAATATTTGGAAAACTGTTCAGACTGCATCTATTTCCTTTCTTTTTTGTACGTTTTAATTTTGAGGTTCAATAATTATTAGCTAATTCGACATAATCACTGTTCTATTGGTCATATTCAACCAAGAAGTAATTTCAAAACAATGGCTGAATGTTCGCTACATATATATGCCTTAAACAGAGAGAGAGAGAGAAATGGGGTTTAACGTCCACTCGACACAAACCAGGTCATTTCGGGACCAACATATCGTTTCAACTTTATTTCAATAATTCGGTTGTGTATAGGGGTCTTTAGCAGTGGGAGGAAACCGGAGGACCCGGAGAAAACCCATGAGGTTGGACAGGCGACCCTACTCCTTGTCACGTACAACTGGGGATTCGAAACCACGCCAGTCGACTCAATGACAGACTTTATGATACAGCGCGCGTATGCTAACCATTCGGCCATCCAACCCCCCATGCCCCAAACAACTTTTTTATCATTGGTTAGAGGCGTCGAACCGCAGGAAAATTTACAGTTACTACTGGCTGACAGCATGCATGCACGAATCAAACAGTCTTATTTGCATATTGCATACTTTATAGTATAATGGCAGGATCGGTAATCTCGACGGCCAACTTGTTTTACCTTTTATTAGTGTGTTACTGCGTTTGCCATAATATACAATGAAAATAAGGCATATTTTCACGTTAACAAAAATATTTACTTGCCATTATATCCAATAAAAAAAAGAAATATTTTCACGTTAACAAAAAATATTTTATACTTGACACATCATGTTTCCAGCAACGAGAATCAAGTTTAGCGATATTTTTCTGCGGGTCAGAAACAAAATTCGAGGATTGGTTTAGATAGGCTTTATTTGTAGTTTGGGGGTTCGTTTTTTGACGAATATGTAAAATATAAAGAGAGCTTTTTTATCCTTGGAGGAGAGCGATAAAAAAGCTCTTCTATTTTGACGAAGGAGGGTAACTCCACATGGGAAGATTGTGGAATGCTGAATATCGATATGGTACATCCTCTCACGAACCCAATGCTTCACACCAAATTTGAAAAAAAAATATGTTCAAAACCATATAGCCTCTATTGCATTCACAAAATTTCCAGAAACTGAGGCAGAACTCCAGGACAGAAGGTCTGATGCTCACTGAAATCAAACTCATATATATGTGATCTTTTGATAATTTACATTTATTTCAAGTTTCATAGAAATCTGACAAAAACAGAAATGTCTAGTCCGATCTACACCAAAATCGAACACAAAGATCTTTTAATCCTTACCACATATTCCAAGTTTCTAATTTTTAACAGTTTTTTGTACAATATGCACATATTTTAAGTTTTATCAAAAATGAACAAACATGTGTGCCAATATTCCGAGATATTTGGAATATAGATATGTTCTTTAAAGTTGCAATTTCATATTTTTAAGTTATATTTTTAAAATTTATTAAAATAAAGCCTTAAAATAAGTTAAAATAGATGGTATCTTTAAACAGTCCTACCTTGTTAAAGAAAAATCCTATTAATCCTATAATTCACTATTGCCAGTTGAGAAATTGGCAAAAATATCATTTTCATCTTCAAATCCCAATGTTTGAAGATAGCTACTCCATGGTGGAGAATAGAAAACAAGGGAGGTAATTGTGTTATTATTTCCGGTGTAAATGAGTTTTAAGTGTGAGAATGACACCTATGATCGTATAATAGTGAGTTGACAACCTATTGAGCAAAAGACATAGAAATAATTATGTTTTGACTTTCTTAGAAAATATGAAATTGTAACTTTAAAGTAGCTAAGTCTCTAACTCAATATCATCCAAAATCTTCAACATTGAAAACACGATTTATTTGTCAAATTAAATCAACATTTATGTTGTGATTTTACTAGAAAAAGATGGGCTTTTGATATCCAATATTTAAGACAAAATAAACATTTTACCATTGGTACACGAATCGTGTACCATAATGTGCTCCAGCCCCAGTTGTATTTAGAGACCCGAGGGACGAGGCTAGAAACATTGCACCAAATCAAACGGCGTATGTAGACTGGAATAACCAGACGCTAGTAATTTGAGACTGCTGGCTTATTTCGCCGAACATAACTGATTTGAAATTGGGGTAAAAACGGAAACCATTGAATGTAAATCAGTTTATATACATTCATATTACAGTATTATATGCGTTGCGACCCACATTTGTCAATGTCTAGGTCCCAAATGTTAGCGATTTAGCTCCTTTAAGTTTAATCAAATTCAGATAAAAAAATTTGACCCCTAGAGTGTTCACAAAACCGACATGAAAATCTAGGTGTAAACAACATGGAAAGGGCAATAACTCTGGGAGTGAATATCAGAAATTGGGATTCTATACCTCACTAATGTAAACAAAGCATTAAAATTCTTTAAAATCAATGGACTGATAGGTATAAATACATACAAACGCCACATGAAAATGTGTGATCATATAAAAGCTCTGAATGGATGGACAGGCATAATATAATGATGATATATTTCTCAGACTTGACTTTACTTTGAGTACTTTATTTTACTTACGGCATTTTCTTAATTTACATTTTCTTTTCTTAACAAGCTTCTTTGGGCATTTTCGTCCACCATTAGCTGCTTCTTGCTTGATCATTCGTGTTTTCATCATGACACCTTTACCACATGTTACCGAACATTCACCCCAATCTGTCCATAACGTAACCATACAATCTACTTGGGTACCACTATTAGATTTATGCATCTTTTTTCGTCTCCTACTCCTTAATCGTCTTTCCATTTTTAACTTTTTTCTCATCATTTTTTTCTTCATTCTCATTTCATTGGATGCGGTATCATCTTCTAATCCATACTTTATGGCATCTTCCATCATTTGCTTTTTACGTAATAAATCCTCTATTTGTATTTCTATTTGAGCTGAATCTGGTGAATCTTTGCCAAGAGCCTGTTCTAGCATCTGTTTTTTCCTCATCAGTGCTTTAATAGCTTTATCAGTTGCAGATGTATCAACCACTTGTTGTAGTGCATCCTCGGCCATTTGTTTCTTGCGCATTAATTCTTTTATATTCATGTCATTGCTCTCTTTCAGATCATCAATTGTCTGCTGTTTCATCATTCTGTGTTTGCGTTTTAAATTGGCTTTATGCAAGAAAAATAATATAAAAAATTTAATAAATAGACTGCATAGGAAAATGGTGTAACAAAAAACACATCCAAACTATAAACCCATAAACAAAGTGTACATTGAAGTAGAAAAAAGCTTTAAGTTAACAAGCCGTTGCCATGCAAGATATGCCCACATTTTGCAAGAGATGGACTGAGAATTGTGAAAATCATTAGAACACAATGCTTTACATTGAATTTGGAAAAAAAACTGTAGCCTCTATCGTGATCAGAGGGGTTTTACACTAAGGGGAGTGACTCTGGAACGGAAGGTATGTATTACACTGAATATCAATTGTTCGTTCTCTCATGAACCTAATGCTTCACACCAAATTTGATAAAGATCTGCTAGTGTAGCCTCTATTGTATTCATAAAGTTTTTGGATATGGGAGCATAACTCAGGTAAGAAAAGTTGAAGAACGTTGATTATCAATAGGGTTCATCCTCTCATGCTTCAATCCAAACATTTTTTTAAAATGCAGTTTGGGTCAGATTTTTAAGAAATCTGAACTCGACCTTTATTGATGTGCAGCAGTGATATACTTAAACGTTTTTTAAAACTGAATACAAATTGTGATTTTTCGAACAATCATGGGCCACAATCCAGGAAATTACGCACAGATATGCACGATTAGCGAAAGGAACCAAGATCTTTATGATATAATCATAAATAGGATCAAAATTGTGGCCTCTAGAGGGACCACAACCTTGATATACCATATATTTACACTATTTGTGTACGAGGGACGGACATTTTGTTCGGCAGTTTTGGTTTGATTTTCATGAAATTCGAATGCTACCGTCATTAGGGTGTAACGGTGATATATACAAACGTTTTTTTGGGTTTTTTGTATCTGATGAAAATTGTGACCTCTAGCAAACATGATTTTTCATACAATCAAGGGCTATAATTCAAGAACTTTCAATATGATACATGCCAATATCAAAAGGACTCAAGGTCTTTTGGAGATAAACCTATATTTCAAGTTTCGTCAAAATCAAATAAGAATTGTGACCTGGTGAGTGTCCACAAACAAATTGTGGACGGACAGGGGCGACAACAATATACGTCCACATGAAAATGTGGGCGTATAAAAATTGATTGTCATAAGACGTCAAGAATCTGACAATGGCAATATGTCGAGTGGTCAATCGTCAGTCATGTGACACAGGTCACGGTCAAGGCTCTCTCTGCCAAGCTTAAATTCCACAGCCCACTTCTATAATGTGGAAAAGGAAGGGGCATCATAACTTAAAGTGGAGACCATGTCGGCATGTATCTATGTTGGGGTTAGGCCTTTCAGTTGCAGGTACTTGATGACTGCCCTGTAGTCAGTTTTGTATATTTCTGGTTATTTCAATAGGTATAGGTTCTCAAGATGGTCTGGTACGAAGACACAATAAGAACACTACAGTTGCAGTTCTTATGTCTATGATAAAATTCAATGGTTGTACATGTACTTGTTGGTGGCAAAAGTTTGTTGCAGGCTTAGAACTTTTCAGCCAAGCCTCGTATATAATGCATCTTTAACCCAAGCAGAAAATGTTCATCAGTCAAGGTATTGATGTAAGGAAGATATACATCTGTTTCATCACTTAAATGTTCCAGCAGATTGTCAGACTGCTGCTTAAGCTCATTACCAAACTCAGTCAAGCCATTCACCTACTGATCAACTGCACACATCGGGTTTAATTAGAAGTAGAGTTATTGTGCCCTAAAAAGTGTGAAGGACGGACAGACTGTTGGACAGATGCTTAGCCTAAGCAGAAAATAATCATCATGAACTCAGTCAAGAAATTCACATCTGCATTAAGTTTGACCATTCCACCTCAATTAAAAGCACAGTTACTGTGCCCCAAAAATTGTGACGGTTAGCTGCTTCGTCTATGCAGAAAATACTCATCACATAATAAACATCTACACCAAGATTTAACATTCTACTTTAATTAGAATCAAACAGACGGACCGACAGGTAGACATATGACCCGGTTTAGTAGTCCCCTGATTTTTTCAAAAGGCATAGGACAAAAAAAGATAGGTTGCCAGGCAATGAAACATACGCCCACAGCAGCTAAATCGTCCGGGCAGTCAAGAAGAGTTGTCGCATATTTTTAATTTTCGGTAATGAAACATTTATAATACACTAAAATCTGATTATAAATTTAAAGTCAATCAAATATTAACTTTGGCCTCTAGAGCGTCCACAAGATTTTTCAAAGTGATCAAGGGCCATAACTCTGGCAGTAATTATCGCAAATCGCTGAAAATCAAAAGGCTTCTTCGTCTCATGACCGTAAACACTGTTCAAAAAATTTAAAGTCAATCAGATATTAACTTTGGCCTCTAGAGTGTCCACAAGATTTTTCAAAGTGATTAAGGGCCATAACTCTGGCAGTAATTATCGGAAATTGCTGAAAATCAATAGGCTTCTTCGTCTCATGACCTTAAACACTGTGTATAAATTTAAGATCAATCGGATATTAATTATGGCTTCTAGAGCGTCCACAAGATTTTTTGAAGTGATCCAGGGCCATAACTCTGGCAGTAATTATCGGAAATCGCTGAAAATCAATAGGATTCTTCGTCTCATGACCTTAAACACTGTGTATAAATTTAAGATCAATCGGATATTAACTTTGGCCTCTAGAGCGTCCACAAGATTTTTTGAAGTGATCAAGGGCCATAACTCTGGTAGTAATAATCGGAAATCGCTGAAAATCAATAGGCTTCTTCGTCTCAAGACCTTAAACACTGTGTCAATCAGATATTAACTTTAGCCTCTAGAGCGTCCACAAGCAATTGTGGACGCCGGACGGACTGCCGGACGGACGGGGGCGACGACAATATACGACCACGTTTAAATGTGGGCGTATAAAAAGGGTTAGAAAATGGTTAGCAGAAATGCCCATCATTATAGATTGTATTATTTAACTGTAAATCATCCGAGCAGTCCATAAATTGTACATTATGAAACTTTAAGTAAATAAAGATAGGTTGCTAGGCCATGAAACATACGCCCACAGCAACAAAATCGTCTGGGCAGTCAACAAGGGTTGTCACATATTTTTTTTTCTTTTGTCAGTAATGAAAACATTGACAACACACTAAAATCTGGTTAGGAGTAATAACCCATTTGGTTTTTAGTTCTGCCCTATACAAACATTTAATATCAATGGCCATAAATCTGGCAATAACAAGCCAACAGTGAGTATGATGTCCCCCGCCAAATCCCAAAATCAATAGATGATACATATTAATTAATCGCACATTTATTTTTTTCAAAATTATAGAGTAATCAAACTGATTATCAACTATACACTAAGTTTCATCACTCTCTATCAGATAGAATCAAAATTATCTTGTCCCAAAGCATTGATCAATGAAATTGCTTAGCTTTAGCTCGAAATGTTAATCATTGAACTCTGTCAAGACATTCACCTAATGAACATCTACATCAAGTTTAAACATTCTACCTCAATTGAAAGCAGAGTTGTTATGTTCCAAAGTCTTGACCAATCAAATTGCTTATCGCTCCTTAGCCTAAGCAGAAAATTCTCATCATCGAACTTAGTCACAGTAATGATATAATAAATCTATACTCTGAGTTTCATCACTCACACTTAATTATAACCAAAGTTATTATTTCCCAAAGCATCAACCAATCAAATTGCTTACCTCTGCTTACCCGAAGCAGAAAATTCTCATCTTCGAACTCCCATCATGACATTCACCTACACCTATGCCAAGTGTTAACATTCTATCTCAATTAGAATTTGAGTTATTGTGTTCCAAAGTCTCGACCAATCAAACTGCTTATCGTTCTGCTTACCCTGAGCAGAAAATGCTCATTATCGAACTTAGTCAAGGTATTAATCAATTGACATCCTTGCCTCATGAACTTAAACACTGTATATAAATTTAAAGTCAATTGGATATTAACTTTAGTCCACAAGATATTTCAAAGTGATCAAGGGCCTAACTCTGGCAGTATTTATTATCTAGCTGATTCTTGACATCATTGGAAGCAATTAACTAATCCGGTAATGAATACAAGAAATTCTGGGATATAAAAGGCAAAAACCAGGGCTGTTTACAAATCAGATGCCGTTTGAATTCTTAGGACAACCATGATATGAGGTTTCCATCAGCTAACTCAAGTGGGATTGAGACAGACTTGAAAGAAATGTTATTTTCATGTAGTCTATTGTTTAAAACTATGAATCCTGCTTTGATATAAAAACATATACACAAATTATTGTTGTTCCTGATACATATCTCATTTGGGTAGCCAGTAGAAGTCCTTGAGGAGAGAAGTCCTAGAGTAGACTAGCCACATGATTGATATATATAGATATATATATATATATATATATGTAAAAAAGTTTTAAATTCAACTCTCAGGATTATATTCCAAAAAATACTAAGATTTTAATTACATTTACATATTTGCCAAGATATTTCGGCCTTGCAGCGCCTTCAGGGCTATGTACAAAAGACAATAACGTCACTTAGTTACATAATAGCGCAACGTCAAAAAGGGGACATAACTCCAGTATGACCCAATCATATGGCCACAGATCACTAAAGATTTGCCCATTGACTTTAATGTTAATTCTCTTCTCTTAGACCGGCTCTAAATTTTTCCCAAATTTTCGTTGGGTAGAACGCTTTCTACCACAGACGGAGCAACATGTGGCAACCTCTTGCCCAAAAGCACGTATGAGGTTCACCATGGAAAACTTGAGATACACAAGTTGGAAGTAGAGACAAGTAAACATGCAATTTTGGACCCTACATTTCAACCTAACCAACCTCTCAACTCTTGTATCCCTCCGCCTCAAAATCATGAATATTCACCAAAACCTGGCAGAAAATGTATTTTCCAACCCTTTTCTTCGATTCTACACCAAAAAGTCAACAAAAATCGCCATGCAAAAGGGGGGAAAAGGGAAAGGGAGAAAAAGACTAAAAATA